AATATTAGTTTTTGCTGGGTAGTAGCAAAATTCTTGCCTTTCATAACGAGGACATGATCCTAGGTGGTTTTCCTGATTCTGATAAAATCTCTGAAACTCCTGTCTGAAGGAAAGAGCTGTACATCTGGTGTGCAGGTCCCAGAAGTGTGCAAGAGCAAGAAAACTTGTCTGCCATGGTTGCTGATGCCTGGAATAATGCATCCGTGCAATGGAAACGCATCGCTGAAGGAGGTCTTTCACCCCAGAGTGAGTTCTTTCCCCATGCCAGCTCCACCAGGTTCCTTGAGTAAAACACGAGGAGTATAAGGTTAGCCAGCACCCAAACCCCCGCTGTGAGCGGGTCCAAGGCCGTACAGGCTCTGACTCTGAGAAGGTGCTGCCGGCTGGCGAAGCTGCTGTGGTGCAGTAACCTTCAGCCCAAGTGAGACCCACGGCTCGTGGTTGCTGGTCCACACCACCATGGAGATGGCGCCAGGGAGCGTCTCACCTGCCCACCGCTCTAGTGAATGGTGGAACATTGCCTTTCTGGCCACTCCACCGGCACCCTGAGCCCCTCATGAAGCCAAAGGCTGGTGCACAAAAAAAACGGAAGCAAGCTCTGCTGATTATGTTTTGCATCTTCATGCCAGGGCTGTCATTCTCGGCCCTCGTTTAGCAAACCTTTCTTCATACCCACTTTGAGAGTTAGAAAGAGAGAAACATTTTTCCTAGCACTTTTTTTTTTTTCCCCAAAATGCTTTTTCTTCCTAAAATGGCAAGCTGAAATTGGTCTAAATATTCAGTTATCATCTGGAATGTTTCATTGCTTCCCCCTTGTTTTTTTGCTAAGTCTCGTCCCAGGGATTTTTGGGACCAGAGGTGTTTCTCTTCTTGTTTTGTATTTCATTGTTTGGTAGCGCTGGGGATACCCTATATTCTCAGTTATCTGGAATGTTTCATTGCTTCCCCCTTGATTTTTTGCTAAAGTCTCGTCCCAGGGATTTCTGGGACCAGAGGTGTTTCTCTTCTTGTTTTGTATTTCATTGTTTGGTAGCGCTGGGGATACCCTATATTCCATTCAAGGTATTTAGTGTGGCATGGCGAACCATGTTGAGCACAGCAACCATGGCACGAGTTTTGTTGCCTAATCTATATGAAAAACTATTTCAATGAATATTAAAGAAGGCACAAACCCCAATAACTTCAACATCAGCACATAGTATGGGGGCACGAGGACATCGTTCGTAGATGCTGAACTAAAATGCTCATGGCAGCAGTGCGCTGAATCCTTCCCTCAGTCATCCAGCTGGAGAACCAAATTGCCTCTGTTGATCTCAGCGGAGATTGCTGGATGTCACCAAGAAGAGCATCTGCTCTGGCGTAGCCACAGAGGAAGAGGTGTCCTTGCCGTGCGATCGCTGCCTAGGTGTCGTTCAGTTACACTCCAAGCGACATCCTAGCGTTTCCTTGGAGCTTTGATTAATGTGGATGAATTACCTCGCTGCCAGCATGATCTGGGTTTTGATGCAAGTGACCGACTTTCCTGGTTTGAAGGGTGGTCCATGACAAATGGTGGTATTTGAGAGAAGCAGCAGCATTGCTGCTTGGACTTTGTGCGTGCATCTGAGTTACCTGGTGCAATGGAATTAATAGCTTCCTAGGGTTTCATTAAAAATCCAAATTGGTTACTGTATTTTAATTACTCCACTCCCTTTCCTTTGTTTGACACGCTATCACTTTTCCATCCTCGTTCTGCTTTTTGACTGTTTTAGGATGTCCCTTTCAGCACCTACATGCTTTGGGGCCTGTTGCTTGGTGGTTTCTACACACCGCCGAGCTCCAGGGCATGCAGCCGCTGCAAGGAAAAGGCATTCTGAGCCCGTCAGAGCAGAGAGCCTGTGACGAGAGCGTCACGGGCCACGCGTGCGCGTGGCGAGCGGGGCGTGCTCGGGCCCTGCCGTGGTAGGCTATTAAGTTACCGAGAAGGGGGGATCTGCTGGAAGGGAGAGGAGGGTCGTGGGGGGGGGTTGAGATTAGTCAGCGAGTTATGCTGTGGGAAAAGAAGCGAAAGCGAGAGGTGTGCTTGGGTACAGAAGGGGTGAGCTACCGAGCGAGGGAGGGCGAAGGTGCAGAGAGACAACAGTAGTGCCGTTCTCTCGAGGGGTGAGTGAGGTTGGGCCGGCTGGTCTCAGGTTTGGGGCAGCTGCTGGAGACGGGCAGTGGATCGGTAGGAGGTCTGACCAAGCCCTGTTCTCCACCTCACCCACACGCAGTGCTGGTTCCTGTGCAGCCAGACGCAGCCCTGGTGCTGGAGCCCATTTGTAACTGATTTCTTTCTCTCCATTTGCAGAAGCGGAAGAGCTCTACCAGAAGAGAGTTTTAACCATCACGGGAATCTGTGTTGCCTTGCTTGTGGTGGGCATCGTCTGTGTGGTAGCTTACTGTAAAACCAAGTGAGTATGGGTGGTTGACAGGCGATAACTGGCCAGAGGTTACTGAGCAGTAGTGTGCATGCTTCATGCTTTCACGCTCTTCACCCAAATGCTATTTTAAGGCGATGCTGTGCTGTGGTATTCCCAAGAAGGTCTCATGAAGGAGGCCAGTGAAGCCATCTTCCAGGCTGTGCCTGAGCAGGATGTTTTCCTGTGACCATTTGCTTATCCCCTGAATCAGCGCCACTTTGCCCAGCCAGGCGATGCTGTGTTACTGGGAGAAGGCGACCCCCAAGCCAGCAGCTCGTCTCCTGACAGGAGAAGCACACTGGGTGGTTGCACAGGAGCCAGGGGCTCAGCTATGTACATTTCAGGGATTTTCAGAGCAATCTTGGTGGAACAAGAGGCTTGGGGACCTCTTTTATGGCCAGCCTTCCCTGCCTGGACAGCACCTTTTCCCCTACTTAGCCTGCACCTCACCTCACTTCAAGGTGCCCCTGGGACACGAGGGGTCTTGTGGAGTGGATGCCCTGCCAGGGGCATGGGTTGGCTTTGCCACTTTGTGCTTAATGCAGGACAGGTCAAGTGTCTTGCCACCAAGGCCAGGCCAGGACCTGCTTCCCCTTTTCCTTCTCCCCGCTCTTCTCTTCTCCTCCGCTCCCAGCGCCACGGTGTCCCTGGCTGCCCTGCATTGTGCTGGGACTTGTCTTGCAAAAGGGGCCACTGGACCCCCAGCTTCCCAAACTGCCCATGATGAGAAATAAATGTTCACTTTTTTGAAAAAGCAGCAGAAGGTGGCAAATGTTGAATTCCTGGTTTCTTCCTGTTTGCAGCTTTCCACAAACACCATTGAAACATCAAGTGTGTCTGAGACTTGCCTTCTCTATCGTGTGTGTCCCTCACGTGTCTCTGGGGGCGGAGTGCCCCGCGAGATAAGTCTTCCTAATGGATTTTTTCCTTTCTGTTTTAAAGGAAACAAAGAAAACAAATGCATAATCATTTACGGCAGAACATGTGCCCTGCCCATCAGAACAGGAGCCTTGCAAATGGACCGAGCCATCCACGTTTGGATCCTGAGGAAATCCAAATGGCCGATGTAAGACCTTTTGTCTCCATCTCCCTGTATGTTACTGAGTGTCTATTTTCCACCAGGGATTTGACGTGGATGTGTATGCTTACACACCCACGTGCACGTGCATGAGGAGCAAAACACTAACAAACTTGAACAAAAAGATAGGATTCTGCATAGAAACATGTCCAAAACCAACAGCTGAAGGGAAATGTGATTTTACTTTGAAGCACAGGGTGAAATTAGGACGCTTGGGACAGACTTGTTCTGATGAACCAAGTGTGATCCTGTTTTCTTCTAAGAGAGATGTTCCCGATGCTTCCTGTTTATTAAGCTATCCTGTCGAGCCCCACTTTGTGGCATGACAAATGCAATCGGCATGGCAGTGGCCGGAGCCGCCACTGTGACCACGTTGTGCTGAAGCATGTCATGGTGATCTGGTCAAGCGCCACGTTAGCCCATACCAAGAGTTGCACCCCGGGCAAGGTGGGATGTCCTGGTGGGGTGCCAGTGTCATGCCAATGAGAACAATCTAAGAATTTAGGACCGGATCTAGAAGGGCGGTTCAGACACACTCGTGACTTCAGCCACATGAGATTCCCGTCAGACTCCATGAGCTCAGTAGGACCATCAACGTGCCTTGCTAGACCAAAGTGTTGAAAGGGGTCAGGAAAAGGGAGGGGCAGGGCAGAGCCAAATGAAAAGAATTACTGATGGAAGTAAGTACAATTCATCAGTTACAAGCTCTGCTAGGGTGACCCTTTGGATGTTAAAATTTATCTAGGTTGAATCCCAGCCATGAAGGAGAGGGGAAAGGGAATTTCTAAGAAACACAGCCCTCTGTCCTCAAAGTACTGACTCCCCCAGAGAGTTTAGTGTCCCAGTGAAAAGCAGTGCTTCTTGTTAGATGAAGGAATAGCTCAGCATAAATATTTGGATTATACCTGGTGTTTCTGTAGGACTCGCATCTCTGGCAGATCTCATGTGGTTGTCCTTTTGCTGGTACTCTGTCATGAGCAGAGGTGTTTTTCTGCTCAGTAGCTGCATGTGGTACCACTGTCCTCTGGGGAACCCCTTGGCTCTTCATACCCCGTGCCATGGCCCTTCTCCAGTGTTCGAAGTACAGGGGCAGAGAAGAGCCTCCAGCCTCCTTGTCCCTTTCCATGGGATGTGCAGCTGCCAGGTTCACTCAGTCCTCATCTGATCTCACCAGAAATAATCAGGCCAGCTGAATTTGGCTGTGGCAGCATTGCCAAGCTGGTAGCTGATCTGTGTGATTCTTCATATTTTACAGTATATTTCTAAGAATGTTTCTGCCACCGAGCATGTGATCCGAAGGGAAACAGAGACAACCTTTTCAGGAAGTCACTCCTGCTCCCCATCTCATCACTGCTCCACAGCCACTCCAACGTCCAGCCAGAGGTGATGTATTCCATTTTCCCCTGAACTTTCTCCGGCTGTTTGCCTTAGGATGCTGTGAGATTCAAAGCCAGTCAAAGTTTTTCCTTTCTCCCTGTTTTCACTTGACCTTTGGCACTACACTGGCATATAGGCCATGTCAACGCTGTGGGTCTTTGCTGGCACAGCCAGTTAGTGAGAGGTGTGGAAAAGTGTCATCCTTGACCTGCCGTGAGGTGCCAGCAGGCACCTACAGCACTGACCCAGCTGGAAACTAGGAGGAAATTAAGTTGTGCTTTCATGCTTTGCACAAACGCAAACGGGAGGATGCATCTAGGAAAGGTTTTGCAAGTTGTGTTTGCGACCACATTGGACACCTGCGATAATTCATTACCTGCACACAAGTTATTCGTTTCATGCGTGATATATTTAGAACGTATTTGCCTTGTGGAAGGCAAAATACACAAAATACTACAAAATGTTTTGTCCAGTTCCTCAAAGTTAGTGTCTGACTTAGGAGACACAGTTTTTCACCAGAAAAAAACACTCCTGTGTGATTTATCACAGTGCAGAAAGTTGCGTTAAGATCTCCGCCTCTGAGGTGGTGGCACCTTTTTCACTGGAAGTCTTTCTGAAGCTCTCAGGAAAACTGAGTCTAGAAGGAAAGTACCAATAATTCTTGCTACACGGGACGAGGCATCATTTTTTTACGTTTCAAAATAGCCATCGGGGGGGAAGAGCAGCATGGCTCAGAAGCTGAAGTTCTCATGGTTTTTGAGAGCATTTAAATTGCAGATGGAGCTTCTCTACTTTTATGATGTCCAGAAAAGTCCTTCAAATGCTTTAGAGAAAGTTCTGTGCTGATTTGAGTTTGGATGTTCAGGTTCTTCCTCTGTCAATAGCTCTTATGCTTCTTCCAGTAAGTGACGGTGTTTCCCTAGGAGAGCACTTGCCTTTGAAAAGTGACTGCGAGGTGCAGGAGAGACGTATCTACAGCCTGTCAGTGATGTATAGATCACATCATTGCATCGACTTTATAAAGTGAAAGGTGTCCTTGCTTATTTACTTCGTTAGCCCGAGGTGTTTGCCTCCGCTCATCCCGGAAGCAATGAATCCTTTCAGCTAGAGCTCAAAGGTGGCTCCCGGCAGGTTTCTCCGGGATTCAGGCATTCATCAGGGATGAGCAAGTACTCTCGGTGCACCATGCGTCAGATCAACTTCAGATATCGAACTTAGGTTTTCAGGTGAATTCCCATCCAGACTCCTCTGGCTACACCTCCAACAAGTGGAGAGGGAGCCACGAACGACTTGCTGGGCTGGAAACGACTGCCTTTGTCCAGGGAAATCCTACCCCTGGTGAGCTAGACGGTGTGTTTTCCAGCGTTCTTTTGAGTTCCTATGCTGCAGCCCAACTCTGGTTAAGTGAATGCAAGCTTGAGCCAGGCACACAGAGGCTCCTGTGTCTGCAGAGCTGCACCTTGCTGACCTTCCGTGCTCACTTCAAAGTCCTGGGACCCCAGGGACATCTTTGGGTGCCTCCTGAAGACGCAAAGGAGTGTCTGGAGGGCAACATTAACACATGACAGCTGTGGGGAGGCACCTACCTTGCACAGCCTCTGGGCTTGGCTACCTGCCACCTAAGCTTCCTGAATGAAGTGCAGCAAGCAGGTGTTTCTTGAAGTCATGCCAGAGGCAACTGCTGGCATAATCAGGCTCCATTTTACTCGATCAGCGCCTCTAATGAGGACGCCGTTTGAAGCTGTAAATGAGTGTGGTGGTTGCAGCCAAGCATGTGCCTGGAGCCATCAATAATTAACAAGTTCTTGGGAAGTCTTAGTGAGTCCTGCTCTTCCCCGCAAACCCAAACCCAAAATCTTTTGCCGGCACAGCTCCATCTGGTGCAGTTTGGGAGTCCAGAGCTGTGGCTCTAAGGGATCACATATTTCTGCGATGGCGAGGGGTCAGCCCGGTGGCCGTGGCGCAGGTGGGCCCCCAGTGTGCGCATGGTCCCATGCATCCCTGGTCAGTCCTTGCGGGATGTCTTCTTTGCACCAAGACTAGGGCAGGTGGAGCTCCAAGTGCTCAGCGAGGTCTAGACAACGTATCACAGTTTTTGTCTAGCACCTTGCTGCCAAAATATTTTATAAACCGGTGGAAACTGAACATCTAGAGCTACCTTTGGTATGCTTTTCTCTGCTGCTGGTGAAGTAATTTTGAGTGGATTTTATTTTGGCTCCTTTCTGGCAGCATTTCTGAAGGAGCTGTCACTTGGCAATGCAGATGGCACGTTTGAAGATCCTTTGCGGACTTGCCTTGGCATGGCCAGTGCATTGCTCCACACCCAGAACACTTTGCAAGCTACAAAGCAGAATTGCCCTGGCCTCCCTCCAGAGGCTGTCCCGTCCTGTCCCTGGCTGTCAGGAGGTGGCGTGATAAATACCCAGCATGCATTGCTTTGCCTTTCTTTACCCTCTAATCTCCAAGAAGTAGCAAAGAAAGGCAAATCAAAGGCTGGGTCGGGAAGTTGGGCATCCCTGGCCATATGTATCCTAGTGACAGAGAGAAAGGGGATGCCGGTGGAGAGCAGAGCATGAGCTGTGCCTGCAGGCAGCTCTTTGGAGAAGACCTCGCTGGGGATTCCTTGCTCACTGTCCATATGGGGTTTTGTCCACAGACATGAAAGCCACACCTGGAGCTTGGAGCGGACAGAGAGCCTGACTTCAGATTCCCAGTCTGGGATAATGCTGTCCTCAGTGGGAACCAGTAAATGCAACAGCCCTGCGTGCGTGGAGGCACGGGCTCGCCGTGGGGCTGCCTTCTGCATCGAGGACTCGCGGAGGCCCATGACACAGTATCGTGACTCGGTGGATTCTCTGCGGGACTCACCGCACAGTGAGAGGTCAGACCCCACTGCTTGGTGCCGCCCCGGCACAGCAGAGGCGAGCCGTGCCCGCTGTGCCGGACACAAAAATGTTTGCCTCTGCCCAGCCCTAGAGCAGCAGTTCCATGGTAGCACTGGATAAGCTCCAGCTCTGGTCCTACCAGAGGAAGCCGCTACCCCAGGAGGCCACTCTGGTAGGGGCAGCAGCAAGCCCTGCACCCTGCTCACCTGATGGAAACATAGGTTTGGAGCACAGGGATGGGAGGAGCGGAAAACACCTGGCTGCAGTCAGCAACTGGTGACAAAATCTGGCTGAGAGCACACCCCAGGCAGCTTGGTGGGCTGGCAGCTCAAGCAGGGTCTGGCCCTCAGGTATACGGGGAAATATATGGGGGTATATATCTATATGGGGAGAAGATGTGCGTCCTCAGTGTAGTCCTGTATGGCCTAGTGAGCAGGGGTGCTGTATGTGGGCACAGCCTTGGGACAGGGAACACAACTGCAGAGCCGAGACGCCGTCGGTCAGTGAGAAGCAGCAACAGTCATCCTCTTCCCAGGTCTGGTTCCTCACGGTGCAGGAGCGCGTCTCCGCCCTTGCTCCAGCCCTGTGTGGGTAGCCGTGGGTGACCCTGGGTGGCCATGTGGCCGCTTTCGGGCAGTTACCCTTCAAGGCAGTGGGACTTGTCCATGGGGCAGAGGAGAAAGGCAGCATCTCCTGCTCTGTCCTTTGTGTCCCCGGTCCGTTCAGGCAGGCTGACCCGGCTCGTGCAGACGTCTCATACTTCACAAGACACAGGGGCAAAAAGGCGCCGGACG